AATCTGAATGTGTCAACAAAAGAGGACATAGGGAGTAAAAACTGATGTCTCTATAGATACCCTGAATCCTGTTAGCCATCAGTAACCTCATGCTTACCTCATCCCTAGCCAATACCCCCCCACACCCAATCCCGATATGTAACATTCTGCATGTGAACCTTTCCTATATAAACCCCTTAAAGTGAGTGCTCAGGACCTTCCCTCTTTTTGCCTACTATAAAGTGGTGTCCAGGAGGTCCCTGCCTAGGCCGGAATAAAGGAAACCTTTTGTTCTTGCATGGGAAGTCAGCTTCTTGGTGGTCTTGTTGGGGCAGGGGGACTCATGCACAGGCATTGCACTATAATCCACAAAGTGTTCCTAATGAAATCTCCATATATTGAGGGAGTCGGAACCCCTACTAGTCATCTCATGTCACTACATGAAGTTTTCAGTGCCAGGACTGGGTTTCATCCAATTGAGTTGTTGGCCAAGGGGGTCCTATGAAAATCCCTAAACCACCCAGGTGTTGCCAAGACAAAAGGTTGCTCTCCATATAATGTGGAAATTCCACAGAATCTGTCTGATAATCAAAAAGGATTTACTCTGGGTTAACTCACAATAAGCATAAGGGAGTTGGTCGCTGGATCCAGGAGGGATGGGACGCGGTCCACCACAGTTCTCTGCCTTGATCCACAGCACCAGCATCTGGCATTCAAGATCACAAGGTAGCCAAGAGGGCGAGCACATATGCATCCCAGGTCTTAAGGAGTCCCCCCTTGGCCATGCCCTAGGGGAGGGCAGATATCTAGCAGTTACCTGCTGCCTATTGGGGTGGTGCTTCAGGGAGGGGCAAAGCACAGACAACCACCCCTATACTCCATATACTGACAAGACCCCATTGCTGAAGACAATAACCACACAACTCACTGGATATGGAGGGGCCAAGCTGGTGCCTACATAGAACCTTTACCCCCATGTTCTAGTGTCTATGATATAGAAAGGTACTTTGTAGGCTACCAAAAAAGAAAAGTAAGCATCAACCCAGCCATAAAACCTTTGATCTACAATCTGTCCAGCCTGCAAAATATGCTAGGGCAATGGTGGCACAAACCTTGTGGGAGTAACCAACTAATGTCTGATTTGACTTAAGAACCACTCCATGAGATGGGACCCAGATGGGACACTGCTTGGGTGTCTAAGAACCAGAGTCTAGACAGCCCAGAGACCTAGGGTAAAGCAAATATTACTAGTCTAAAAAAAAAAAGTAACAATGAAATGACTCCTAAAGATGTTCTGCTATACTCATAGATTGATCAGTATCTTATTCAGTCATCATCAGAGAGGCTTCCTCCTGCAGCAGATGGGAACAAATACAGAGACTCACAGCCAGACATTATGAGGAAAAAGAGAGTGAGAGACTTAGAACACTCAGCTCTAAATGGGATGTCTCCATCAAATCCCTCCCCTCAGAGCTCAGGGAACCCCATGGAAAAAGAGGCAGAAGGAGTTGGGGAGACAGAGAGGATAGAACACAGCAGGAGAACAAAGCCCTCTGAATTAACTGAGGAAGCTCATATGAACTCACAGAGACTGACACAGCATTCACAAGGCCTATGTGGCTCTCTGCACCAGGTCCCCTGCATGTACACTATAGCTTTCAGTTTAGTACTTGTATGGGACTCCTGGATGTATAAACAAGTGGGTCTCTGATTCTTATGCTTTATCTTTGGGTTCTTTTATTTTTCTATTGGCTTGGATTGTCCAATTTTAATATGATGTTTTTTTTTTATCTTATTAATTTTATTTTGTTATGTTTGGTTGTTATTTCCTAAAAGCCTGTTCTTTTCTAATGAGAAACAGATGGAGTATATCCAGATGGAAGAGAAGGTGGGAAGTACCTGGGAAGAGTAGAGGGAGTGGAAACTGTATTTAGGTAAAAAAAATAAAATAATAATAATAATAATAATAATAATAACAATCGTAGTAGTAATAGTAATAATAACATTTTTTTTTTTTTTTGGTTTTTCGAGACAGGGTTTCTCTGTGTAGTTTTGCGCCTTTCCTGGAACTCACTTGGTAGCCCAGGCTGGCCTCGAACTCACAGAGATCCGCCTGCCTCTGCCTCCCGAGTGCTGGGATTAAAGGCGTGCGCCACCACCGCCCGGCAATAATAACATTTTTTAAAGACCTGTGTTCATTAAGACTTCCCGGATGCCGGGCGGTGGTGGTGCACGCCTTTAATCCCAGCACTCGGGAGGCAGAGGCAGGCGGATCTCTGTGAGTTCGAGGCCAGCCTGGTCTCCAAAGCGAGTTCCAGGAAAGGCGCAAAGCTACACAGAGAAACCCTGTCTCGAAAAACCAAAAAAAAAGACTTCCCGGGCACCAGTCTGAATCGCTGCTCTACTGGATGCTGCTATGCATGTCCAGAAGCACAGAGTCTTCAGGCTCTACAGAAGTGAACACAGGTAGGGGGCGAAGTGACACAGCTCACTGAAGCATGTGGCTCTGCCAGGCCTTGCCCTACCCCCCATTCCCTCTTCCTTGCTAAACCATTAGATGACATTCCTAAAGCTAGCCACAAAGTCTATTCCCTTATTTGACCACTTCCTCCTGAGACTGACTACCAAGGTCCAGCTACCAAAGTATTGAAATCCAGCCATCAAAAGCCCCCTATGGCTCACCTAATTAACATACCCAATTAAAATTAAACGCCTCATCCTAACACAGGGGTCAAGAGGTGATTCACCCGCTGACCTCAAACTCAAGGTTATTCTCCGCTGATGAGATCTGCTCTTAGCCATCAAGAGCAGGGGTAACTTTATCTATGTATTTCAGTGCTTGAGTAGACTCCTCCGACCTGCACGCTTTGATGGCCCTCCTCTGGCTTTCCACACCACTTTGTATGGACGCCTCTCATGCTGGTGCTGAGACAGGTTAAATTCAAATCCTCTGGCCTGTGATTATCCCTTTCTCTCAATTTTGAACAACAGTTGTTTTGTTTTTGTTTTTGTTTTCGTTTTCTTTCTCAAGATTCTGCCTGTCTACTGCCCTATAAGTCATGCTGAGTGACAAAATAGATTTCCGTTTTCTATTGTTGACCATCAGAAGAATCACCATCTCACTAAAACCTACAACTTGTTTTAAGGTGTTGTGTGACAAAACATTTTCTAGGGAAGACTATAACACACACATCTGCTCACCTCAGATAGGGAACTGACAACAGATCATAACATGGATACCACCAAACTCCAACTTGTTGAGTTTTATTGGAGTTATGGACAGGAATATGGGCCAGTTACTTACAGAAGCAGAAATGGCTCAGAGACGGCTGCATCACCAAAGCCCACCTCAGCATGGCTCACGGCTCACAAAGCCAAGAACCTGTAGCACAGTGCACAGGCTACAGGAAGCTCAAAAGGTTGGAGAGTGTCCTTTCCTGGTGCCTCAGTTGGTCTAAACCTCTCCCAGGCAGCTCGACTGATTTCTGCTTCTTCCAGGCAGCTAGTCCAGTCTGAGAGACTCCTTTACTGGTTTTGCTTCCTCTCAGACGGGCTTTCAGTTTCTGTTGGTTGCTCTGGCAGGTCAGTTTCAGGGACTCTATGAAGGCTGTTTGAGTAGTTTACTTTCCTGCCTAAGGAGCTTCATTGCCTCAGCCTTGAAGGAAATTGTTAGACACACAACATGAGGCTTATGAGAGTTATGGAGAATGTTTTGAGAACTAGTTTTGGGTGCTTGGAGTGGTGTGGTTTGGTTTGGTTTGGTTTGACCAGAATCTGTCTGTATTACCTTTGGGATGAGGCTCCTGCTCCTCCTCTACCAGTAAAGGAAGTGTGTGGATGGAGTCCTGTATGTCTTGGCTTCTTTTGGTGTATGTTGCTTGTCTTTTGGTGTATCCTATCACTCTATGACTCTTCAAAGCTCTTCCTCTTTTAAGAAGATTCTTTTTCTGACAGTCGCCCTTCACCAGAGCACACAGACAACTTCTACTCTGCCATTTTACCCAGAACTCTCTCCTTTCTACAGTAGTATGTTACATAATTCTTAAGTCAACTATAATAATAGATTTAGATGATTTAACAGTAACATGTAACATGATATGGATGTCCCATGATTTCTGTAGTCCATTCAGTACCCTTTATGAAGCAGTTCACTTTATTTACACTATTTAAACAAAGGTAAAATAGTATTTGAACAAAGGGCTGACATTTGAGCCTATTTTCTCACATTTAAAGTACAACTATCACCTGACTAAAATTAACAAAGTGGGATAAATCTATGACACTCCCTGCAATGAAATGGGCACAAAACAAGTGACTCTTTCAAAGTCATCATTAATGAACTTTGTATGTGCTATAGACACATTCAAGGATAGCTTTATGACTTCTGTTGTGTATTTCCTCAAGGTAGAGAGTGATTTCTCTCCTAGCTTTCAGAGGTGGACCTAGTGACTGACTGCTAGCAAAGAGAAGGTGGCAGTGTGCTAGGATATCACGTTTAAGATTAGACCATAAAGAAATACTGTCACCTCCAGCTCAGACACATTCCTGGGCATTTATATTCATATTCCCTCTCCCTCTCCCCCTCCCCCCCTCCCCCTCCCTCTCCCCCTCTCCCTCTCTCTCTCTCCTTCCCTTCTTCCCATCCACTCACCCATCTACTCACCTACCCACTCACCCACTCTCACTGGTGAAAGCCCCAGTGCTTCCTTATAAGACACAGATAGTTTCTTGCAGAGACACCTTAAGCCTGTCAACAGCCACATGAGTGACCACTGAAAGCAAATCCTTCCCTGGGAGGACCTAAGATGACTGCAGCCAGGCAGATGCCTGATTACATTCTATAGAGAGACCAGAACCAAGCAGATGAGCCAACAGAGGCTTACTGATGCCCAAAAACTAAGATATGTTTAGAGTAGTTTGTTACCTGGCCAAAAAGAAACATCAGATAGATCACTGAGGAAAGGTTATTTGGTAATAATAATTGATCATATAAATTTGATATGATTATAATAGGCTTTTACCTTCTTCCTTTAAAATCAGTCAGACCAAATCCATAAAATAGAGGAACTCCTAAATAATCAAGTTTTCTCTGTTCTATCCACTTTTGAACTGCAAAGAAAAATTAAGAAGAAACATGATTTAGAAAGGTAGTTTTTACCTTTGTAGAGATGCAAAGACTTAATTATCTAACCAAAATAGTAAGTAGACCTAAGAAAATAAATACTTAATGAAAATAGATACACCCATCTCATGGTTTCAAACTTTTTTGTTTCCACTATAATTAGCACAAAATATTTGTTTTAAAACAAAATTAACAGTACCATAAAAGACATAGTCTTACAAAGTACATTGTTATCTCTCACTCAAAATGATTGGAAAGCAAATCATTTGCTCATAAGCCAGCTCAGTTTCCAAATGTAACTCAGGCTGACTACAAAGGAGAGGTACTTATCCCCCTACTGCCTTCATTTCAAAGTCTAAAGCCACGTTAGCCCAAACATACAAATGGAGCAGAAAAAGTACCTGAGTCTGAAATTAAAAGTTATTTACTCTGTGAAATAACTGTTTTGAATAAATTTAGTTTACAAAACAAATCATAATTGAATTATTTAATCCAGTTAAACAATCAGGTAGTTCAATCACCGTTCTCACTTCTCTCCCATGTGTTTCATGCTTACGACAGCTTTCCTGATAAAACAGTCAAATTTAATGGATTCTATTTGTCACTCTGACATAGCTGAAGCAGTTGGTGGAGACTATAGTCACAGTCTTCAGAAGCTTTATTAAGGAAAACAAAGTTAATTACTCAGGCCAGATCCATCATTCTTTCTCCTAAATAAGATATAAAGGACCCTGACCATTCTAGTCATCAGGACTCCTACAGCTCCCGCAGTGTTTCACCTCACTCTTACAGACTTCCTATTGTCCTTCATCTCTGCTTATAATCATATCCCGTTCAAATCTGCAACTGGTAGTTCTTATTTATGATATCCAGCTCCACATAACTTCCCAACATTCACCTTTCTAACATCTTCTTAAATATCTCAACATTCAATCATTACCAAACACCTTATTCCACACGTGTGTGTGTGTGTGTGTGTGTGTGTGTGTGTGTGTGTTCTACATACTTTAGTTTTGTCACTATATGCTTTCTATCTAAATGCATCTTTATAAAAGAAATAATTTCATTCTACAATCTTTTTTGCTTAGAGAACTCTTGATAATTCCACAAGTCAGCATGTTATGTAAAGCAGTAGAAAAACTGACTTAAAATATATAACCCGTTATGTGTGCCATACCAAGATGTGTATACCATCTGTCTTGCTTTTATATGTTATCACAGTTAAGTATATCACTTTACAATAAAATTTCATATGGAAAAGAATTTTCCAGAAGGCCAGAAAAAGACCAAAATATTAACCCTCACTTTAGCAAGCTCATACATGGTGTAGCTGCTTAGATATTTTTACTTACTATATTCTCTTTTTGCTGCTCTCTGATAAAATTTAAGTTCTGAAAATAATGGGCCATTCTCTTGATATTCCTATGAAAGAAATATAATAATTAATTTTAATAATTTTAATAGAAATTATCCTAAAGATAAAACAAATTGTACTTCAACTGTGAAAATATGAGCATCCACATATAAAATACATCATAGTTACAGAGTTCTTCATCAAACAAGTACCAGATTCCTACTAAAAAAAAAAAACAAAACTAAATACACTTGAAAAGTCTCATTTTAGAGAACATATTGTACTGCTATCCCAATATAGTCTTACACATGAAAGAAGTCTTCTGCAAAGATCTTCTTAGAAGCAATGAGAACTGTATACATAAATAAGCACTGGCTATACACCAGTATGTCTTCAGGGCAGGCACACTGGGAAGTACGGTGGGGTCCCTAACACATGATTGCTTCATTAACTGTCCCCTACATGTCTTTCATTGTTCTATGCCCTGGGGACACTGACGGAATCCTAGGCCTTACCTTAGAGACCTTACTACCTAAAAGAGTGAAGGAGAAAATGTTTTTGTTGTTGTTGTTTTTATGAGAATAAAGCATAGTGAAGAAAAAAGTCAGAAATACAGGACTACAAATGTAAGAACAACACTTACCACTTTTATTACATGTCTTGCATCTTTACTTGGTTTATTTGTGGGAAAAGCTGCAGAAAAAAAGAAAAGTGGAAAATAATAGTTATTCTAAATCACTGAGTATCTACCAAATCACAGAGAGATGCTAGATATAAGTACATGAACTAGATTATCCCCAAACCTCTTATAACTGTGGCACCATCTCCACTTTACAAAAGGTCCGGCTGAGGTTGGGGAAATGGAATAAATTTCTCACTAAGAAAAATAGATTGAGGTCTAAAACTCATCTGTCTGACACAGAACACATTACTTATCATATTCTATATTCTATATTCATGCATTCAGATATAAGAAATGACCAGATAACATTAATCACATGATCCAAGTGCAGAGGAAGGTAAGAAAGCTAAAACAGATGAGATTAAGCATGTTCAGGTTGTTCCAAGGATATAGATCTCATATCCATGCCAGGGTAGGCTTCTCAAGCTGCCCAAATGACCCATTTTCCTGTAAGAAGTCCCTCATCCATGCTTCTATAAGTAACACCAATAAACTCATTGGTCTGCTAAACTAGTTTTGGGTGGAATCTTCCCCTAGTTCTGTCCCTGGCATCATATCTGAGATTTCCCCAGGAAGTAGCATAGTATACATAATGTATGAACAAAACCAGAGATAACAGAGAGGAACAATTGCAATGGATGATAATATAGACAACTAATACTGATCTGTCTGTGGGGAAATCCTGATATGGCTGCCTTTCCCCACATTGCTATGGGATGTCTCTCTGTATACTGTGAATGTGTGCTGCTCCCATTGGTTAATAAATAAAGCTGCATTGGTCTATGGCAGGGCAGGATGGAGCCAGGCGGAAAAATCCAAGAGAGCCAGTGAAAGGAAAAAGGAGAGTAAAGGAGATGCCAAACCGCTGTCCAAGGAGAAACTTGTTATGGGATGCAGGTAAAGCCTCGGAACACGTGGTGATACATAGATTAATAGTTATGGGTTGAGTTAAGTTATAAGAGCTAGCTTATAAGAAGCCTGAGCCATAGGCCATATAATTTGCAATTAATGTTAAGCCTCTGATTGATTATTTTATAAGCGGCTGTGGGACCAGAGAACCTTATGGCTACATCACCTTATGTGGCATGATGGCACTTCCCCCTGTAATGGTAGTTGCATGTCCCCTGCTATATTTGGTAAGACAAGCAAGCAAGCCTGACCAATCTGAGGAGTGAGAGTTCTTGGGAGGAACTTGGTATGGTGTGGCATGCCTCCTTGACGAATAGGGTCTGTCCAATGCCCTCAAACCACCAATGGACCTGAGAACATACAGTAATCCTTTGAAACCAGCATGTATGGGAGGGATTCTAAGCCAGATACAATAAAACAACTGAAGCTGACCTGTCTGCCCAGAAAGAACTGGTCCAAGTGGGGGGGGGGGGGGAATGTGGATGCTACTTTAATGTGGTAGGAAAGGGGCAGGGGTGAATTGAAGTATTGAGCATTAAGTGTTGGATCCCCTTTTGGGGATCCAAACTTGGACTCCTGGGGATAAACAGTACATTAGAAGAAAGAGTGAGATGCTGAAAATGTTCTTCTGGTCTAGCCTCTACACAGAGGAAGGGAAAAGTCCATGATTCTGCATCCACATGGGGGCCTTAACCATGGCCCAGTAGAGGAAACTATAATCCTCACAGATACTCTTCACCTTAACTATGAATAGGAAAGAGGTTTAACTAGGAAATGAAGGAGTCCATTCCCAAGCCTGAATCATGAGGCTATTGAACATAGGATGGATGAGGTCAGTCTGAGTGATATGGTAAAACAAAAAAATATGAAACTTCCCATCCCTTCTTGAAACCAAGGCTGCACAAACATGCAAAATCGGTCCCTGATGGACTGGCTCATATGAGCCATTAGCCACTTGCTTCTCACTGGCTGAAGTTACCATGAGCATCACTAACTGGAAAACACAAGAGGACAAGCATCCCTGAAGGAACTGGGAGTGTGAGAGGCAGTGTTTGCTGCCTCATCCACTGAGCTAACAGAACTATGTCCACAGGAGAGTCAAGAAAGAGACGGATCCAGTAGGGACCTGGCAACTGGTATGGGCTTTTGGGGACTTCGCTGAACTCCATGGTGAGAAGTGATCTTAAGAAGCCAGGAGAGGCTCTGGCACATCACAGGGATTCAGACAAGCATGGAGATAAATTGGGATTACAGGGTCTGAAGCACTCGTCCAGGTTATTCCAGGGAAATGAGGCGGCATTTGTGTCAAGGCAGAGCTCTTCGGGGAAAAACTTCTGACAGAAAACCAAACTCTGTCCAAGTAAGCATCCAGAAATTTTGAAAGCCTGAGCAGGAAGGGCGAGAGGCCATAAGGGATCAGAACAATGCAGGTGACAAAGCTGTGCTTGTCTCCAAGTGGGGACTAATCCCTCAGAGTACTGGTGGACTTTCTCCCTAAAGGAAGGAAAAATGAGGGTGCAGATTGTTCTTTCAACCCCGAGTCTGTATAACAGCCAGGTGCGGCCAATGGAGAAGCAACAGCTTGGGGTGGGAGAGGTGTTTGGAGCCTATTAGAATCAGGGAGTCACTCCGGCATCTCACAAGAATGTGTCCCTGCCCTCTACTCTTCCCTTGGCCTTCAGCTGAGCCAAGCAATACAAGCTGACCCTGCTGACGCCATCGGGGCAGGAAGATACACAGCAACCTGGCAAAGTGTCCCAGGACGAGGAACCAGAAAGCTCACAGAGAAGGACAATGAGCACAGGGACTGAATGTACTAGTAGCTTTCATGTAAGAAACTGCGCCCGGCATTACTCTTTTGCGAAATCATCTAATACAAGCTAGGGTACACTTTCATGCCTTATTGCATCTTGCTAACTTCTTAAAAGATATCTCCCCTGCTGCCAAGTCACAGAACCACTAAGCACTTGGTTGGAATGCACGGCAGAGACTGGAGAGAATCTGCTGCCCTATGTACAAAGGTTCCATTACAGATTGTGCAAGACTAACCTCTGAATACCTTAAAGATTTAGAAAAGCATCTAGAACTGTTCGGGCAGTAGTAACAACTACTCGGTGGTAGGAAAAGGCCTCAGTGGCACTTCTCAATGCCAGAAGGTTGCTGAATGAAACTCCAGTGCTTAGGGCAGGCTACCTCCCTAGGAGTTATTGGCTAGGGACCCCCTGAGGCTCTAAAAACCATAAAGGTTCTTGCTATTTATACTGATTACATACGAAAAGTCCATAGTAAGTCCCTATTGATGAAGAAGCTGTGTGCTCTGTTGAAGAATGTAGAGAAATCACAGAGCTGGAAATTTCCCCACTGGCTGGTTTCATAGTGCCAGAAGGTGCTATCCGGGCTGCTGCCACAGCACTGTCCCCAGCAGTCCTGAGGTAAATACTTAGCATGCTATAACACCTACATGCTAGAAGGGCAAGATGTAATCAGCAGGACAACATAGGTGTAAGTTGACTAGATTTAGGTCCACTTCACAGGAGCAAAAGTCCATGGCTGAGAAAGTCAAAGGCCCCAGCAGGAAAGCAATTCTTATTTTCTTAAATGCATGCAATGCACCTCCTAAACTGCCTTCACAACTTTTTTGTTTACATCCACAAAATACTGCAGTCAGCCTCAATCATAATGGGGAACTCCTTGCGCAGTGGCTGCTGCAGAATCATAATAGGTTAAGCTGAATGTGGCTGTAATGACCCGAGGAGGGAGCAGCGCGGTGGCTGCTGCAGAATCATAATAGGTTAAGCTGAATGTGGCTGTAATGACCCGAGGAGGGAGCAGAGTGTTGTGTAACTACTGCCACCCAACTCAAGCATTCTTTCCCGGAAGAAGGAAGCCTGCAAGCAGGAAACAGTTGCTAGGGGAGATGTGCGTCAGTGGCACTGCTGCAAAACCGGCAGGGAGCTCCAGGAACAAAGCTTTCGGGACGTCATCAATATTATGGTAGACTTGACAGTGACAGAGCTGCCCCAGGGTGACTCAGACTCTTGAAAGCACCTCCAACAAAGCCACTGGTCCATCAAGCCAGAATGAGGTGGAATCATCTATTTGTCTGTCAGTGTTTTCCGTCTGTATCAATAATAATTAAACCTTTGAAAAGTCCAGAGTTCACATATTAGAACAAATCAATCCCCTCTTTTACACTGTCTCAATGATTACAAGATTATTCTGTCTTCAAATGCTAATGAGTACACATTTTAGAGGCCTAAAATTCTGTCAGTCTTTTATTTAGTCCTTCACTCACCAGTTAGCTAATCCTTGTCAAGAAGCTAGAATATGCCAGGTACTGAGTTAAGTATTTGGACAAATTCAAAGAGAAGGAAATAACCGGGGTGGGACTAGTAGTGAACACAATGAAAATTGTCATCATGACCACGAACATCAAATTCTGCACATATTTTGTCTGTCCTGTTCAACATGACAACTTCCCCAGTCATATCTCCAGCCCTTAAACAGACCACCTACAGAGGCCTTTCTTCCACCTCTGCCTCTGTCCCCAGAGGACTTTGCAGCTTTTTGAGACCCAGACTTCCTCCCTGATTCCATCCATCCCTTTGTATCAGCCACCAATACCCTGAGGCACTCTCTACCTGAGAACCCTCTAGCATGGCAACCTGGGGGTCAGGTAGGTGATGTCACTGTCCTTCCTGTCTGCCCTGCAGGGTCTTGCCTCCCTCTCCATGGATTCCCTAAGGAATCCAGAGATGCTCCTGGGAGGCCCAAGCTTTCTCCTCCTACAGAAGCTCTCAGGCAACCTCTCCCTTCTAGTCCACCACTATTCCTCCTGTTAGCCCTTAATACCTAAAAACACACTCTGCCTGGTGACTCAGAAGCACGCCATACCAGGCAAGCCACACCCAACACACTCTTCAAAGAACCAGAAAAGCCAACAGAAACCAGGGAACTGAAAACCCACCCAAAAAACAAGATCATATATCAACACCTAGAATTCTAATATTCCCAAACCAAGATGCCCAGACACCGGTGTAAAAGCACAGTAACAGTGCGAACAGGACATCTCCACTAGAACCCAGCAACTCTACTAGAGTGG